AGCTGAAGGTCAGTCTGGTTGGGGCCTGGGCAAGCCTAAAAGGCAAGTAACCTAGTTCCTCGTGAAGGGAAGAAAAATTTTAACCGAAGTAATAAACCCTGAAGAAAATGCAAAGGCATATGATTCAGCGAAATGTCAAATTAATCTGAATCATTCTAAAGCCCTAAATCTTCAGAACTCAGCACCTTTTGTAGTATTAGAGTTTGCAGAGAACAAATAACATGCCCCAGGCTCTGGAACCACAGTCAGTGGTGACAATAGGGTTTTATTTTGTCCACAAATGAATGGGACCTCAGTCCTGGAATGCTTGCCACAACCATCAAAGAGACTCTGTAGATCCACCTGGTTGAAAACATCAGATTGTGCCTGGTATGATATACAGGATGCTGAAAGCGCTACAATTTGCTGAATTAGTGTCCAGATGGGCCTGATTTACACTGTCTACCTAGAGTACAATGCATTCTTTGTCTCAATGGGAGTTTGATTGCTGGTGTTCTCTAAAGAGTCGGCAGTTCCCATTATGTGTTGCATATGTTTGTGGTCATCCTATTTTAGTGGAACCAAAAATATTTATTAATTAATCATTTTAAACCTCCATTCTTCCCAAACGGCATCCTTAGCACTGGAACACATTTTTGGCATAGTTGTCAGGGCTGACCTAGTCCAAGTCCTCCCCACACCCAATGAGATCAGGCTGAGGCATCTTAGGAAGTTGTAAATCATGGATACTCCCACTACCAGGTCCAAATGTTTGGAAATTTTGGACAAACACATCAAAGAGCAACTGAGTTAGTAGACATATAGAACACGTACTTACCTGCTACAGTTGTTAAATACAATGTGCCAATAAGTGGGACTTTCAAAAGGGAACTCTCTCCTTTTTTTACAGATTCAAGAAGAACTACGGATTGAGGGATTTGAAGAGGAATCTGAGAAGATGAAGAAAGAGATAACCCAACTAAAACAAGAGATTGAAGAAACCGAAAACTTTTGGCCCTCAATATTTGTAGAGCTCTTTTGTATGGCAGCAGGTGTACTTCTGGGGCCCTCCATGTTCCAATGAAGAAAGGAGGCAGAATTTTTTTCACATGGGCTGAGAATTTTTAGTAAATATGTTATAAAAGGACATATGTTATAATAGCATAACACTGTGGCTCATTTTTAAAGTATGTGTGTCATGCTAATTTCATCCAAGAAAAGTTTAAAAATAGTGATAGGAGATAATAATTTATTCATGCTCACAGGATAAGGAAAGCAAAAAGACAAACAATTCCATGAGGGAAACACTGGTGACCTGTGTCACAGTCCCAGAGATGATTTCCTCATCTACACGGTCCCCAGGAATCTGGGCGCAGAGAACAGCCACCACATGTTTTAAATGGGTGTAAATATAAGAAGAGATGAAAACATTTAACTTTACTGATTATAGAAGGCATACAAAGTAAAGCTAGAAGGTACCTGTGTCACCTGACAGATGGTCTAGAAAGAACAGTTTTGATAGGACACTGGGTTGACAAAGGTTTCAGGAGACTGGCGGCCACTCCCATTTGCTAGTGAGAAATGTAAAGTGAGGCAAATACATTTCAAAATTTCAAGTGCAAATACCATTGCTTCAGCAAGTCCACATTTAAGAATAAACCTTAAGATTTATTTACTCAAGTTGAAAATGACATATGTAGCATGATATCTGTGGCAGGATTGCTGCAATTCCAAAAGACAGAAAACAACTTTAAATTTTTTCTCAGATATTAGTTAAGTAAATCTTGAGACAGATTGACAAAGGACTCTATAGTCACTGAAATGAAAACAGAAGCTTTATTTTTTATTAACATGAAGAAATCTACACAATTTATCATAAATGAAAAAAAGATGCAGAATGTGTGTATAGATGTACCAACAAATTTAGAAAATAATATGTGCATTTATGATCATCTGGAAAAATATAAAAGAAGATAGTATCCATGAACACAAAGGAAATGAATGTGCATAGTTGGAGCTAGATATGAGAGGATAGCTAACCTTACATTATATATTTTTCTGTGCCTTTTATGTCTTGTATAAATTATTAACTATTTAAACATAAATAAATACAATTAATAGATTAAAACTAAAATAAAAATACATGGAAAGGGGACCTTCCCATGACAGGATCAAAGTAGAAATACCATAAGTCAGCTCAACAGAAAGGGTCTACTTACCACAGCGGGAAACAGAAATTGCAAGGTGTGTATCTTAACTTTGTCATCCTTTGGGCCTCTCAGTAAGACCCTGAAATTCTAGTACCAAATTTAGGCTCAGATATAAAGTCTACTGGAGTGTCAACTGGAATAATCTCCAAATTTCTGCCCCAACATTTATAAAGATGGTGAATTAGAGGAAAAAAATTTTCAGAGTCGGCTTCACATTTTAAGAATTCTTTTCAGCAGTGTAAGGTTTAAGACTCCTGTGGTTAGAAAGAGTTGAGTATAATTCCACATACTGTGTGTATTCTCTTGACTCTGGACATTTGCACACAGGACACAGACCTCCTCAGACATCCCAGCTGCTTGCCCTGTGTCCTTCATTTGCATTTTTCTGTTTCTCCTTACCCTCTGCTATTTCCTGATTTCCCAAGAGTGCATAATGTTTCTTCCTTGGGCTATTATTGTTCTGTGACATCCCTGCTACCTCAGCACTTTTAGATAACTGCAAAATTGAAATGACCCCTTTACAGCAGTCTCGTTTACTGCCTCATGATCTCATCTACTTGGTGATCTTCATCATCATCTCTTTGGCTCCCATCACAAAGCGCACCCTGTGAACACCAGGTGTGCAACACATAGCAGTGAAGATATGAGCTGCCATCTAACAAGGCCCCTGCTAGCATTTTCTTACTATATTAACTGCTCCATTTAGGTCCTCAAAATAAAGAACACAGTTTTAAGAACTAGTGCGTCAGGGACTTGCTGAGGCAGAAAGGAAACAGGCCTGTCTCCACCTGCTGCCCTGTTCTCTCTGAGGATCGGGACACTCCAAGTGCTCTGGGTTCTCCAAGCTTCTCTCCCAAGACATTTACCCAGCAACGAAGTCACCACCTTTGCCTCACAGTGCAATTATAATATTTACAATAGTAAGGAAAGAGTATTTTTGCACTCTCATTTTACCCATAATTCTTCTATGCATTCAAGGTGTTTCAGTTGAAAGAAAACTATGCTTTTGCAATAAAGGTCAAATTCTCATTGAACATTCCAACAGAGAGGTGGAATCAGCAGCACAGCTCTTTCTTCTTGAGGATTGTGAGATAATGCTCAATGGCCTTTAATTCTCCTCATTCAAAGCCCTACACATGGTCCAGTCTCCAAACCCACTGGGACCGCCGGAGGAGTGGTCTGAACACTGCACATCCGGATGGTGTGTATGGGGATGAGGGGCAATGGCAAGTTCTGCCTCTGTATCAGGTCTCTCCAACACACATGGCCAGCAACACAAATTAGGAAGAGTTAGCACAAGAATGCTGACATAAAATGATCCTCGTGTAGAGAAAGGAAGTTCAGGAGTGAGGTAGAGGACGATGAAGGCAGAGATGATCACCTGCCTGCACTTTAAAGTTCCATCAGAAACCATCATCTCTTGGAAGAATTTTACACAATTCTCAAGATTAGGCTTCAGGGAAAGGCCTCTGCTCTATTAAAAAATTAATAAATAGTTATTCAGTTACTGAAAGAATCAAAGGTCTATCAGAGACATTTCCAACAATCGTGGGAGAAGGCGGTGTCACAAGTATGCTTTCACATTCTGAGAACTGAGCTGCTTGGATGTGTCCGTATATATTCCTTTTCCTAGTTCCCCAGATGTGTAGCCTGCCTCACCAGTGCTGCTCTCTCACCTGCTACTGGTGCTGTAGAATCCTCACAGCACTTATTTATTATGGAAAGTCTTCAGTGTTGCAGAGGGGATAAGACACAGGAACTCATTAGAAACACAAAGAAAACTAGAGGAGACACTTTTCCCACAACATAGGAAAAGGCGTAACAAAGCAGGAGGGCTGACAAAACAGTGTTAGGTGGTTTCTTCTACACTCTGCAGTCTCAGGCTAAATACTGCCAGTGACTGTACATGGAATATAACAAAGAGCAAAAACATTAAACAAAGTCTGCAGCCTGGGGAAGTTCTTTTCTGTAAAACAAAGGCTCACTCTGTGGTGGACATAGAAGCTTCCATGGCAGGTTCTCTGGCCTTGAACTTACTATATCAGGGGTTAGGTTTTCTCTGGAGTGCAGAGAAGCAGGGCAGCAGGTGCGAGCTCTGGACCACGCACAGCTGGCAGGAGCTCCTGGGCCTGCGTACCTATGACTTGTTCACACCAGAGTATTGGGAACTGATCAGTTTTCCCAACCCATCACATATTTTAAGCCCCACTGATTTCATCACCTACTGACTCTTATGCCAATTAACAAATTCTTTCTTGTTAATCTAGAAAAGAATGCTTCCTGTACTAAATCACCACATACAAGCATATTTTTCTAAGTTTGGCCAGTTCACAAATCTATTAACCACCCCATGGCTGTAACTGGAGTCAGCATGTAAACATACACAGCACCATGTGCATCCTAAACTCTATGAAACTACTTCCCAGACAAAACAGTTTTATCCAGTTGCAAACTGCTATTGCCTGAGCTGTGTCTCCTTATTTGCTCACCAGGACAAAACACTTTTATTGGATCCTGCAACCTGCAACTTTATCAGTTGCCCACAGTTCCTCTCCAGACCAAGCAGACTAGGTCTGCTTATCGCAAGCCTCCTTTTCTATCTCATACACTGTAATATAACTGACCTGTGTACTCTTGAACATTATGAATACATGACTGACTTTATACATCATCATGGATTACTAAATACTTGTCCAAGAAATGAACGAACAATAAATCACAATATACAATACATAGCAGAAAATGTTTCCTGATGAATGATTTTTGTTTTTTAGAAGAAAATGTACTTTACTATTGTGTATTTGTTTTTTTTATTATTTCAAAATAATTTACAGTCAGTAAAAAGGTTCACAATACACAGAAAAGTAGAAAATAAAAAACACATATAATAATGCCAGTGAATCAGAAATGCTGTTGTTGACAAAAATGCTTTCATAAATAGAATAATACTGTACCTATCATGGATTGAATTGTTTCTTCACAAGGATGTCAATTTATGTATTTTGTTCAACTTCAAAGGAATTTGAAGCATTGACAGGAAATTTACTTTTTCATATTTTTGGTGAATTAAAAGTCTTAACAAAGAAATTCCTCTCCACAGCAATGTAAAAAAGAAAGAAACCTCTTTAGTTTAGAATAAGCAATACCAAGTATATCCCTATAGGTAGACTGAAAGTGACTACAAAGTCAGGATAAAATTTCACATTATTGACATATTAAAACTGATGAGATCCTTTTACACTGCACAAATTTTAGCAAGTATATAATATGTTTTCTTAGGATGAAGAATATGCTGTTTTACCACAACAGGACTGGACAGCACAATTTCCTGTTACAGCCTGAACTTTCTGCACTGTCCTTCATTGAATGCACCCTATACGTGCTTGGAAACCATAGTAGCCATTGTTTGGTTAATTGCCTTTGGTTAGTAGCCATTGTTTGGTTAATTGCCTTCATCTGAAAAAAATCCGAATTCTTCCATCTTCTTGAGAAAAAAATGGGTACACCAGGATACAACCCAGATTCAGCCCCCAACATCTCAGGGAGCCGGGAGCTCTAGCTTTCTGGGTGTTCACATTTCAAAATGACGGAGCCCAGAGACTTGGAGACAACTGTGGATTATAAATCTGCCAATATTTGTTTAGTCCTGTACAGTTTTATTGCCATTTAATATTTTAGAGATAGGACTTTTGCCCACTTGTTCCAATGAAACACCCTAAAAAATTAGAGAGGGAAATGGGCTTTTTCTGCTTATACATATAAAGAGTTCACCTTTTTTACCTTTACATTATATACAATTCACCAAAAAACTCAATTGTCCCTGGAATCACTTTGATTCCCTCACATAAACAATACATTTTACTGGTCAGGAGAATAAGCAGCTGATATCACAGCATTAATCCTATTTCAAAGTAACCCTGCCCTACTTCCACTTTTGTAACCAGAGAAGACACCGGCGTTCGGGCTGCCTGCCACTACCAAACCCAACAAGCAATGACAGCCATTGAATCTTTTATGGGCGCTTTATTCAGATGGCCGATGATCTGAGAAGATGGCGGGTTCATACCCTAACAGACCCTCTTGTCTTTTCTTTCAAGGCCAGACCTTTTATAAGGTAGGGGTAGGTGGATAAACAAGGTGCTGTGAGGGCTTTGAAGTTCAGGGAGGATTAGTTGAGTGAAGCTGCAGCATTCCTGTCCGGGGCAGCTAGCTGTTCCCAGGGGAGGGTGGTCCTCTGCTCTCCCTGGAACACAAAGGCCCAGATGCCTGCAATTTGTCCCCAGGTGGTAACCTCTAGCCAGTGCCCCAGGAGGTTGGCTGTTTCCCCAGGAGCCAGGATGGGCCTTATCTGTAGTTTCTGACACAGAAGATTCAACATACACATTACTTGCTAGACTTATAACTTTTTACCTCAAGCTAAAATTTTCCAAGTCTTGAGTCCCCTATCACTTTCAATATTACTTATATTAACCCTAAATAAGATTTCAAATTTTGTCCTGTGGCCACTCAAGGCTCAGTTGGGGAAGGATCCATTTCCCAAGGTCACTGAGGTTTGTATCATTATGTGTTTTTAGATGGAAGGCCTCAATTCTTTGCAGGTTGCTACCTGAAGACTCTCCTGAAGTCATTACCATGTGAGTCTCGCCACCATGGTAACTTGCTTCATCCATGTGAACAAGCCAAGAAAGAGAGAGAATGAGGGAGAGAGAGAAATATAGGGAGAGACCAAAAGAGAGTGAAAAGGTAAGATTCACAGAAAGAGAGAAAGAGAGGCAGCAAGAGACAGCACTATCAAGATGGGAATCATTCCTGTAACTAGACTGTTACCTAGTCAAAGAAATAATGAATTATAATGTTGGTAGTCATTATAAGCAATTCATTAGGTTTAGCTCACATTCAAAGCAATTGTACAAGTGTGCAATAACAGGAAGCAGCGATTATTGGGAACTAGTGTCAGAAACTGATTAACACAGTTCCTTTGTGGGAGAAGGGAAGGAACTGAAATTTGAGAGGTGCTATGACTAAGCTTCTGGGAATATTTCTAAAATCTATTTCCTTAACTTACATTATGGCACAGGGACATGTGTACTTTTTGAAAGTCATCTACTGTAATATTATAATTTGGTTATTTTTCTTTACATATGTGAAATTTTAATTAATTTTTAAAATAAAAATCACTACGATTAGATTAGATCTAAGAGAGGGTGAGTGTGAACATACTTGGCAAGTTATTAGGACTCTGGTGTAGAATTCAGGTGAGTGATGGTACAGACTTGAACAGGAGATGGTGAGATTTTGTCTGACTCTGGATATGTGTCCTATTTAAGAGTTTACAGACCTTATTATTGAGCTGAATTTGAAGCCTGAGAGAAAAATTTAAATCAAGAAGGAATTAAAGCAGTTATTATTCACCAAGATGGAAGAGACTGTGGGAGGACTAGATCCAGGACCACAGGAGATAATCAGAAGTTTTAGTTTGGATATGTTAAGGTTGAGATACTCATGGGACAAGATGTGGGATGTCAAGGAGAGAATGGAATTTAAAAGTATGAAATACAGGAGAGATTAGAGCTGGAAATATAAGTTTAGGAGTCATCTTTACAAATTTTTCCATCCATGGAACTAGAGTAGTGGATTAAAGGCAAAAAAGTGAGGGGCTCAAACCAGAAGAGTCACGATAGTTGGAGATTAAAAAGTCGGGCAAATTCAGAAGAGAAACTGAAAAAGAATGACTAGTGAGATAGAGTAAAACAAAGAATGTATAAGACAAAAGCAGTAAGACAAATAAGATCAAGAAGGAACTGATTATCACTTTTATCAAATGTTACGGAAACGTAGCATAAAGTGAGGAGTTGAAAACTGATCTTCTGCTGCAGCACTTGGAGGAGATATTGAGAGGGACTCTGTGTGGCATGCCTGCTAGTGAGATTGTGGGAGAGTTGTAATTGCTGGTAAGGACAATGTCCGGGCTGAGATAAAATGACAGTAAAAACAAGTCTGTTGGATATGAGGAGGTCAGGGAACTGACAGGTCAAGGTATCAGATGTTTGTGTACTGGTTCTTAAAGGCCAAAATATTTACAATTGGAGTAGAGGGGAAAAGAGAATAGCTTGCTGCTTAAATCTTCAATCAGCGAAGGAATTGGGAGACCCAGGATGCCTGATGTAAAGAGTAAATTGTAGCACAGTCCTTTCACGTGTGTGGTTCTTCTTGTTTGTTGTTTTGGGGGTGTTGGGTGATGTAACATGAGAGATTGAGAAGTTAAAGAAAGAGGATTCATGATCAAGAAGCCAAAACAAGGAACAAGAAGAGCATCTAGTCTACCCCACTGCCAGCAACACTTGAGGGAGCTGCTGGCCTACCAAGAACATGAACCCATTTAGGTGCCTACGGGCTTCCAAGTTCTCTGTGCAGACTCAGAGTTGGAGAGCAGGATGACAGCTGGGGCTGGGCGAAGCAAGGTTACAGGGTAGAGGGACTGAGTAAAAAGAAAAAGACTCGTGGGCACAGACAACAGTGTGGTGATTGCTGGGAGGAAGGTGGTATAAGGGGACTAAAAGGTAATGTAAAAAAAAATACCATAAAAAAGACAGCATTCTCTGTGCATTATTCCACCACCTTCTCAATGGTGTATTAATACCCAACTCACAATGATTTGTGAGAGTTCATTGAGCTACTGTATGTAAGGTCCTATCACACTGTTATGGTCATCATTAGCATGTAAAAATCAGTACCTCTTTTAAATAACAATGGCATTTTCTCACCTTGATATTTAAATATATGTTCCTCCTGGTTAAGCTTTCAAGATACAAAATTTATAATAATGTATAATCTTTTATGTTGTTATTATTAATTCTGAGCTTAATTTCTGTTTCCATAGTTCATACCCATCTGTAAAATGTCTAATTAGTATTAGTGTATATACAAGGCTCTTACTGTAGAGCTTTACTTCTTTGTTATATAAAAATGCTTGAAATAAATATTGTTAGCCCATATTCTAATCAAATGACTCATCAGTTTGTGTCCAATGTTCATACTGCGTGAACAGTATAGGGGCACAAGGCAGTGACCACTTTAAAAATGTTGGAATCATCCTCTATCAGAATTTAACCTCATATAGTGTTGGGAGATCAATCAGGAAGCAAAGTCACCTCCAAGCATTGCAGAGAGAATGTTTTATGTAGTAATTAATTATGTGAATATAAGACTTATTTAAATAATAAAGGCAACCTATGCTGTGAAGTTCTGGAAGGAGGAGATTAGGGGAGCATAAAGAAGTAACTACTGCCTTGGCTGGTGTAGCTCAGTGGATTGAGAGTGGGCCTGTGAACCAGAGGATCACGGTTCGATTCCCAGTCAGGGCACATGCCTAGGTTGCAGGCCAGTTCCCATCAGGGGACATACGAGAGACAACCATACATTGATATTTCTCTCCTTCTCTCTTTCCATTCCCCTCTAAAGATCTAAAGATCAATAAATAAAATCTTTTAAAAAAAGGAGTAACTAAAAAGAAGTAACTACTAACCACTATACCCTGAAGCATTGGTGAGGGAAGAAAGCTGCAGTTCTGGAGACATCAGACGATAGCGCCATCTGGTGTCACAGTGAGTCTGGGGACACTGCTGAAAAACTGCACCTGATCACTCTGTGTCTGAAGCCACAACTGCCGAAGAATAACCGTGCTGTCTCTCCTTCCACCACCGTCCAAGTCTCCTTGGATACTGTTATTGTAAATCTGTAAAGATACAACTTAATATAATACAAATAACCCCATTTAAAACATAGGAGGATCTAAGTAGATATCATTCCAAAGATAAAATATAGGAGGATCTAAATAGAGATCATTCCAAAGAATATATAAAAATGCAAATTGGTACATATGAAAAGATGTTCAAAATCATTACTCAACAGGGAAATGTAAACAAAAACCACAGTGAGGTACCATTTCACCCACTCTAAGATGGATATAAATAAAACAACAGACAATAACAAGTGTTAGCAAGATCATGAAGAAACTGAAACCCTCGTACAGTGCCGGTGGTGGAATGTAAAACAGCACAGCTGCTTTGAAAAACAGCCCGGCAGTTCATCAAAAGTTTAGAACATAGGAGTTATTATAACCCAGTAATTTAAAATATTTCTATGTATAGACCCTTGAGAAATGAAACCAGTTACAAAAGTACTATTGTTGTATAATTCTATTAATATTAAATGTCCAGGGTAGGCACATGTGTAGAGACTGAAAGCAGATTAGGGTTGCCTGGGACTGGGTGTGAGGCTCATGGATACCGGGTTTCCTCTGGGGCTTTATAAAAATTTCTGTCTTTGATCATAGCAAGGTTGCACAAGTGTGTGGGTGTGTGTATAGCCCTGAAAAAATATATATATTTTGTCTGGAAAAAGTACAGCCATTGTTAACATAATGAGAATGGTTTGCATGACATCGAGGTAACCTGGCAGCCAAGGAGAGTGGACTGGAATGTGCACATATGTGAACAATGATGACTTCACTGTACTAGTCAGTGGGGGCAGTAGATGCTGTTGAGTGAGCATGTGTATTGTGTGGCCATTGCATTCAAAATGACCAAATGAGTAGACCAATGAATCTGCATCAGATTTTGTGTTAAGCTTGAACATTCCTCTGAGGAAACTGTTCTGATGACTCAGAAGGCCACAGCTATGGGCAACTGGTGATTGGCAGCTTCATCACGACAGTGCATTTGCTCATGCAGCACATCTTATGCAGAGTTTTTCGGTGAAACATTAAATCACCCAGGTGACTCAGCTCCATTACAGCCCCTGCAACTTCTGTCTTTTCCCAAAACTAGAAACACCTTTAAAAGGGAAGAAATTTCAGACCATTGATGAGATTCAGCAGAATAGAACGGGGCAGCTGATGGTGACTGGGAGAACTGTGTGAGGTCCTAAGGTGCCTACTTGGAAGGGGACTGAGGCATCATTGTCCTACAGTGCTTCTTGTATCTTGTACCTTCTTCAATAAATGTCTCTATTTTTCATATTATATGCATGGATACTTTCTGGACAGACCTCCACTAAAAACTGGGTTGAATTGTAACTTTTGAGTTTGTAAATTATATGGTTCATGATTTATATACTAACAAACTTGTTTCTGTTTTTAAAAAATGTCATGTTGCCCTGGCTGGTGTAGCTCAGTGGATCGAGTGCAGGCCTGCGAACCAGATGATCGCAGTTCAATTCCCAGTCAGGGCACGTGCCTGGGTTGCAGGGCGGTTCCCAGCAGGGACGCATGAGAGGCAACCATACATTTTATCTCATTTTACCGTGTGTTGTCTGGCATTGGATTGACTATGGAATTTTTTTTGTGGATTTGCTAAAAACAATCGAGGTTAACATACATTTAGTTTGAGTTTAGTGGGATGAGTATTTTTCAGTTTATCAGTACTTTCATAACTAATTCATTCTTTCTGAGCTGTCCCAGTGTAGTAACGGCAAGAATTTCTCTACTGCTGAGTGTACGTCACTGTGTGAGGGACGGGACCAGAGGTCGCAGATGGCGCCACAGCGTAAGGTTCTGAGAACCACTGCCCTGTGAGGGGTGGTTGCAAAACAAGATTTGATGCGTAAAGAACCCAAGCTAGTCTGTGCAAAAAATTTTCAATCCAGTTTGCAAACTTTTAAATTAAAAACTGAGTTCTTATCAACATTTGGTCAAAATGAAATTTGGTCAAAAATAGAAGTTTTCTGTCGGAAATATAATCAATAATGCAGTGTAGACAAATATAAATCCATCACATAGTATTCCTTTTTAAACAACAATCACAGAGAAACTCACCCTGAATCTTGCGTTCGTAGCACACAATTCTCTACCAATGCGTCTCTCACATGTCTGCTTCTCTCCCTCTTTCTCGCTCCCTTACCCTCTCTTCGAAAATAAATAAATAACGTCTTTCATAAAAGCACTCATGATCAACCTGTCTTCACTTGACTTCCTCTGCATGGTTTGCTGTTTGAGTAGAACTGTTCACTGCCCTCACCATACCCTCCTATATACCTACAAGAAGATTTTCAGTGTATTTACTTTGTAGCAGTGGCTTTATACTGAGTTTTATCTCTCATTGTTTTTCTCAGCCAGCCATATGCTGGCTATGGCACAGCTGTATCGCACAAGCTTCTCCGCCCATCTCTCACTGTGATAGGGATGGCCACACAGATACGAGGGCTTAGTTCTAGCGCATGTACATTTGACCGGCGGATCAATATTTTATGATAGACCTAGGAAGGGCTCACTCATCTTTGTAACCACTATTGACAGAAGAACTCAAAAATGTATAGGAATTAGAGAGGAAAATGTCTAACCACAGTGCTATACACCTACAACGACTATACCAGTGAATGTCAACCGTAGTTGAAAAAAATAGAAAAAGAATTAGAGGAATTTTTTACCCAGGTTAGCGTGGGTCTCCTGCCTCCGTTGAGTTCTCCATCCCGCCCAGGCTGCGGTCTGCTGCCACTGCTTGCCTTTGACTGCCATTCCCAGGGTGTACACCATGCTCACGCCTTCTTCTCCTGGGGCCCACAAAATAGGACAGTGTGTTTAAGTCTAACCTTTACTCAGTGTTTCGGTCATTGGTGGGTGATCTAGTCAACCTAGTCATTTTTTGAGGCCTCCTTTCTTCTAAGACTGTTCTTTTATCTATCTCAAATTCCCAATTACCACTCAATTATTATCTACAGCAGTTTAGTGACTAGGTGACTAGGTCCATGGTTCCAAACCAGCAGCTCTTTAATGCATTCTGCTGAACAAATGTCATTTTCTAGTTATCATCATCTGCTCGCACGGTATAAGTCTCATCGTGAATTCCACTGTGGATTCAACCAGAATCTGTGGTGAACTCTAGCAGTAAGAGGAACAGGACTGGGTCTGTACCTAAATTTTATTCACCCATGAATTCCTCTTGCAGTATTATGTCTGTTCTAGTAGGAACAGGGTGAACCTACATAACCAGATACATTATTCTTGCTCCAGAGTCAAAAAAATTAAGAGATTACTTATTTTCTAGGCAATGGTATAACTAAGAAACCATCTTCCTTACATGCACTTGATATCAGACTTTAAATTATGGCAGGCTAGATGGGGGAACTGTCCCCCTGAAAAACACCTATAAGTGACAAACAATATGCATTACTAATGTTTTGAAATGAATAGCAGGGTTCGGAAGAGCATAAGACCCAGGAATCAGATATAAGAAACAAGAAGAAAATCATGGCAGGAAGTGGCATCGGAAGCTGTGACTTCCAGAGGACATGTGCTCGCCTTGGTGTTAGTGTCTCTGAGTCTTAATGACTGTAAGAAATCTTGGTGTTGAGATGCGTAGGTTTTACTAATTGGAAATTTAACATGAATCCTGTTAGAAAAGAATAGACTAATTAATATTTGTCTACAGCAGAGGAAAAGTGGCCTGTTTGAGCCACCTTAGATTTTAAAAATTAAACCATTCCCTCACCTGGGCATTGGATTGAACTTACACAATAGGTGTTGTTTACGAAACCACTGAAATGATGCTGGAATGGGTTGCGCTTCGAGGCACCTGGCAGTAACAATTTGTTTTTGTTTGTTTGTTTGTTTTTGGTAAAACTGTGTTCAACTTGGACTCAGAGGATTCCCGCAGATACAGTCCAGAGAAACTGGGGGACAAAATGCAAACTCGAACAAGGGTGCAATCCCGCACGAACGAGAGACATTGAAAGCAACAGACAGCAGAAAGATGCACCGGCATTCCAAACACTAATTTTGAGCTCAGATTATAAAATAACAGGTTTACACATCTAAAAAATAGCAAATAAGCAAAAAGCAAGATGTTGTAAAACAGCCTTGGCTGGTGTGGCCTAGCTGGTTGGAGCATCCTCCCATAAACCGAAGCCATGGGGTTGAGCCTGGTCAGGACACCCGCGGTGGTGGCGAGCTCTGGCCCCAGTCAGGGCCTGCGAGAGGCATCCAATCGATGTTTCTCATATCGATGGGTCACTCCCTGTCTCTATCAGGAAGATTTTGAAAAGAAATTTTTTTCTCTTGAATGGATAATATAATTAACCTTGATAGTTAAACCAGAACATAAGATAACTCTGGAAAAAGCAATTGTAAATAGTTGTGACTAATATAGTACAGCAAAACAAAGATCTGGTAAGTAAAAAATAAATAAATAAATAAGGACCAGATCAGAAGATCTGATTTACTTTCCGAAGAGAAAGACGAAGGAACAATATTCAAAGAAATACTAACTAGAATCTTCCAGAATTGATAAATGATATGAATATTTGGCTTAAAAACTTACTGTGACTCCAAAACAAAAGTTACTGTGAAACAAAACAAATAAAAAGAAATGTATCTGTAGACACATCATAGTGAAAAAAGGACAATGATACAGTGTCAAAAGCAGACATAAACAAACGATACATTCTTTAAAAAGAGGTGAATCATACCTTAATGAGATTTTCAACAATACGAGGTCACAATATCTTTGGAGGGTTGGGGGAAAATAACTGTAAATGTGAATTTTATATCCAAATTAAAATATTATGGAGCTGTTTTAAGATAAAATGATGACATTTTCAGATATGCAAAAACAGGGGCAGTTATTTCTATTAGAAATTCTCATTAAAGGTGCTTCCAAAACGCAAATTTCAAGATCAAGTAGATGGTTCTAGAAGGAAGGCCTGGAGTGCAGGAAGTAACCAAGAAGAAAATTAACAGCAAACATATGGGTACATGTAAACATGTATAATTGGACTTTAAGTGCATTCTTTTCATTTCCTGGAGTTCTAACAAAGGGACACCCCAAAGAGTATAAACCACAGAATCAATACAACTATGCCTAATCTTCTAAGACTGTGAATCTTTTTTGTACCCGTTAGACCACATCCCAACTGTAAGGTATACAGAGAAGCTGAAGAGACTAATAATCAGAGGAGATTAGTCGTGGAAGATTCCAAGGAGAGTTACTGGTGTGTTGCCACCCCCTCACTTTCTCCTCATCGCTTCCCCAGAGCACGAGTGACATTGCTTGCCCTCTCCCTCCATGACCTAAGTAGAGTTAGAACTTCAAAGTTCCTCCCTGACATGTGCTTCCTAGAATTTGGGGATACTAAGATTTGTGTCCGAGTCACGTCTAAACACATCTAAAAGTCAGAGGCTAAAGAACTTTGTGGTAAGAGAAGGAAAAGCGACCAGAGCTAGGAACAGCCTGCCTTTGCAGGCTGGGTAGGTGCACACACACATTTCTCGGAAACAGATCACTGAATGAAGGGGAGGGGCAGTTCTAGATTTGAGTATATTTATGTTAATGATTTTTATTAAATGCTGCAATTTTTGTTGTACTCATAATTTTGATCAAGCAGTTTTAAAATCACATCCTATAATAACAGCATTTCAAAATCCCTGCTGTACTTTTGTTTTATTGAGATATAATGACATATAATATTGTATTCATTTAAGGTGTACAACATAATGATTTGATATATGCATATATTGCAAAATAATTACCACAATAAGTTTGGTTAATATCCAGCACATCACACAGTTCCAAGTTATTTCTTCTTGTGATGAGAACTTTAATGATCAAATTTTTTGGCAAATTTCAAATATACCATAAAAAGTAGAAAATAGAAGTTCTACTTTTATGACACTTGAAGCTTGTACCTTTAGGCCACCTTCACCCCTTTTTGGCCATGCCCCTAGATTTGAGGTATCTTGAAAAAAAACTTACCCAAGATATTACATGATAAGGTGCATTGACATCAACAAAGAAAGGCCTAGGATGAATGCATTTCTAGAAGACAAGGTCAGAGGACAGGTGTCTGTGGGCCACCTGTTGGGAATTTCTGGTGGGAGACTCCACATGGGTATCTGCCAAGAATTCATTCATCATTCCATACAGGAAAATGACCCAAGTCACCACCAGAGAGAACAAACACATATTATTAATGTGTCATGTAAGAGGGTGTCCTTTTCCCCCATTTTCCTGTACATATGGACACACTGAAGGTATCATGAATGTGCTCTTGTGTGCAGTGGGCAGGTGGGGTGCAGACAAAAAGATAAAACCATTACCTCCCTTACTCTGCTCCTGTGCAGCTGAGTCAGGCCTTAGTTGTACAAAACAGTGGGGTTGGGGTAGGGGAGGGGGAAGGCATGTGCATGAAGGGGGGACCCAATATGGGAAAGGGCTTTTAATTAAAGCAACTTTAATTAAGTTGAAATTTTCTTTTTTGTTTTGAAAAATATACTCTTCATTTTCTTTTAGTTACTAATAAACTAGTGGCATGAGAAGATAATCCCATAATGTGACTTAAAGAATGAAGAAAGTTGCTTTCTGCTTTACAAAATATTAACTGCACTAAAAATTAAGAAAAATGCCAGATCTGAAGAGTTAAACTAAGGTGAAGTTTAAATGCAGAGCAAATAATATGTTAGATGAGGATGGAAGTTATGTTTGTATGAATGTAAAAGTTGTACAACCTGAAGAATGTTAATAATGTCTGCAACTTACAAACCAGAAGAAAAAATAAAATATTGAGATGCCATTACAAAGAGAAAAAGTGAAAAAGTGTGCCATATGAGATGTACATGTAAATACTAGTGAGAGCCTTATGTTATTCCCAACATTGAGAAGACTTCTGATACAGTGCTCCACCTGGCTAGATTGGATGGCCTTGGTGTGGATGGAATAATTTCCCTATCATCAGTCTTTACCTCTAAAAGTAGGAGGTAGACAACTCTTATTCCCAGACCCTGCTGTGGGGAGGCTTGTGATTTAAATTCCGCAGGCAGACCCGCCATTGGGAGATTCAGATGCAGATGTGAAGCACCAAAGAAGCTATTTTTCATGAGGTGGTTGCTTTTCCACAAACGTGAAGGTGGAGGAGTCCAGGTCCTCAGAGTTGACATTGGTGGAGCTTCTGGCATTGAATATGGAGATCGAGGCACCAGGTGGCCAGACCTGCAGTATTTTTCCTTGAGATGACTCCATTGTGTGGGTCATATTGCTCCTTACTAAACTAAACAGCTTTATAGACTGGCTCCCTCCCCACCCTCAGAAATATGATCAAAAGATCTCAGCCAGTCCCCACAAATGGGGAAAAAAGAGTGTTTGCAACAAATGACATTGGAAAAACTGAATATCCACGCACAAAAGAATTAATTTAGACCCTCAAGCCAATATATAAAAATTAACTCAAATTATATTAAAGACTTAAACATAAGACCAAAAACTATAAAACTCCTAGGAGAAAACTTCATGACATTGAACTTGGCAATGATCTTAGATATGATACCAACAGCACAAGAAACAAAAGCGAAAACAGACAAATAAGACTACATCAAATTTCTGTGCATCAAATGAGACAACAGAGTAAAAAAGCAAGTCATGGAATGAGGAAAAATATATAAAAATTATATACCTAATATTCAAAGTACATCAAGAACTTCTACAATTCAAAACAACAAAAACTACCCAGTCAATGCCCTGGCCTACATAGCTCAGTGGATTGAGTGCAGGCCTGTGAACCAA